ATTGTCGTACACTCCCCACAGTTCGTGGATGCGGTATGGGAGTATAGCATACAAAGATGCGATAACGGTGGAGGGGTCCAAGTGAAACAGAGAAATGACGGGTGGGCAATAATATTGTAGTACCAGCAAGTGCTCAGAGGCTGATCCATTCCAGGCCACGCAACCCATTTGTCGAGACCTCTTTGAACTACGCGTTGACTTACATCAGCTATGTGGCGGACTCGAAAGATTTCGGTTCACTATCGATTACTATTCTCGCCGACAACGATTACTACTCCGAGACGGCCTTCTCCAAAGCTTCGGGGCTCCAGTCGTCGAGCAGATTCGTGAATTTCGGTGTTCGCCTCCAGGAGGCACACAAGACGGGTTTGGGCTCTTCAGCGGCCTTGGTCACTGCCTTGGTGTCTTCTCTCGTCATCCACCGTACTATGCAGCCCGACGACGTCGGCCCAGGCCGCGACAAACTTCACAATCTGGCCCAGGCGGCCCACTGTGCTGCGCAGGGGAAAGTCGGCTCCGGCTTCGATGTTGCAGCTGCCATTTACGGCTCATGTCTCTACAGACGCTTCTCCCCCTCGATCCTCGAATCAATTGGCGACGTTGGTTCTCCTGACTTTGAAGAGCGGTTGTTTTCGATCGTGGAAGATGCCGATCCTAAGCATCCTTGGGACACCGAATGTCTGGATTTTGGCATGAAGCTTCCCCGGGGAATGCAAATGGTCTTGTGTGACGTTGAGTGTGGCTCGCAGACTCCTTCCATGGTCAAGAAGGTTTTGGAGTGGAGAAAACAGAATCAGAAGGATGCCGATATGCTCTGGGCTGCTCTCCAATCGAACAACGAAAGACTTCGCCTAGAACTCAGACGCTTGGCACAGAGCCCGGACGAGCATAGCCTCAGTGACTTTGAAAATGTCCGCACCTACATTCAGCGCTCACGAAACCATATCCGTACCATGACTCAAAAGTCCGATGTCCCAATCGAGCCACTCGTCCAAACAGAACTACTTGATGCCTTGTCTGAGCTTGAAGGTGTCATTGGCGGTGTGGTTCCAGGAGCAGGTGGCTACGACGCCATTGCGCTGCTCATTCAAGACAATCCGGAAGTGATCGACAGATTAAATGCCTTCTTTGAGACATGGGAGAGCAAAGTGGAGGATGATTTTGGTGGCAAGATTGGGAAAGTCAGACTTCTCGGCGTCCGCCATGGATCGGAGGGAGTAAAGAACGAGATGCTCGACCAATACGGTGGCTGGCTGTAGGGTTGGGGGTTCAACAACACGTGCAGCAGCCGCGAAGCAGCTCATTTACTCAACCACTGCGTGCTTTGGCTCGTCTATTCAGTCTGAGAGAAACGCAGTGTTATTCCCACTTGTTGAGATCATGGCTGATGTACGCAATCTAAGCCGCAAGCCCTCTGCATCCCGCCTTGAAAAATGACTCCAAGATCGGCTTTATGCGTTTGATTACTCCTTTCTCACTTTTAACGTTAATGATGGATGATGATGTTATGACCAATAACATAGCATGAGCGTGATCACGATAGTATTACACAAGCATCGGCAAAGATTTCAATCCAATATCTCATATCATTTCCTGGGCATCCTGATAATAGGACTCAATTGGCAGGCCATGTCAGAAGAGCGAGAGCGGCACAGTTAGCAGTCTGAGACCCATAAGGTATCTTGACGGGAAAGCGCAGTGCTTTGTATAGTCTATACTCTTGTGTAGTAGCAGCAAACTGCATGGTTTACAGAAAGCCAACATGGAGATCTCAACGGCAAGGAATTCTTATCACTACTGACTCCCTATTCTGACAGGAGCAGGATATCATCCCGCAACCGAGTCCTTCATTCTCAGCACTGATATGAGCTGTTTAATATATGCTCAACATGCTGTCAGTACGCCTCAAGGGCCACCCCAAAGTGACAGAACGCCGAATTCATCGTCTATAAATCATTAATCATGTCATTCAAAGAGCAAAGACCAGACCAGACCAGACCAGACCAGCCAGTTCATAGCTGAGTAGGTTGAAAAGACGCAAATTCCGCCGTCGCCGCCGGATCCGCCTCCAAAACCCTCTCCTCAACCTTCTCATTGTCATCCAGAATCCCATATTCCGCCGCCTTGGCCTCGATCTCCTCATCCGAAAGCCGCGGCAGTTCCTTCGCAGCACGCACGTAGCTGATGTTCTCCACATGGCCCTTGGCGAAAATCAGATCGATTTCTTCGAGACTCCGGCCCGCGGTCTCGGGGTAGAAGATCCAGATTACGGGGATGAAGATGGCGTTCCAGGCCGCGAAGAAGAGGTACGTGCCCCAGCCGATGTGCTCGATCATCACGGGGGTGATCATGACGACGGTGAAGTTGAAGAGCCAGTTGTTGCAGGTTGAGATGGCGTTTGCCTTTGCGCGGGTTTTGAGGGGGGAGAGTTCGGCTGGGTAGAGCCAAGGGAGGGGGAGCCAGGTCGCGCCGAAGAAACTTGATGTGGAATCAGTAAAAATTTCGGAACTTTTAGGTTGGGAAAGGAGCTGGAGGGGGGGGTTGGTGGCATACCACATGTACAGGAAGAGACCGAAGACTGCACCCTTGGCTGTCTGCGAGTCGCCTGGGATCAGGCACGCGAAGACGATGATCATCGCTGCGCACTGGCCGAAACTTCCTCCGAGGAAGAGCTTGCGCCGGCCGATCTTTTCGATGAAGAACCAGGAGAATGTTGCGAAGATTGCGTAGCAGATCATGTTGACGCCGCCGATGAGCAGAGCGAAATCGTGTGATTGGCCGATTGAGTCTTCCAGGAGGACCGGCAGGTAGTAGATGACTGCATTACAGCCGGAGATCTGCTGGAAAACTTGCGAGGACGAGCCAACAATCATCCGGCGGAAGTGCTGCGATGGTCCTCCGGTGAAGAGGTCTCTGAATCTGGCCTTCTCGGCACCGGAACTGGGCCGCTTGTCAGCTATGAAAAATGCGGAGTGCGAAGAAGGGGGCGTACGCTCGGACCGAGTCCAGAATCAAATTCTTCTCCATCTGCGTATGACGATGACTGATCTCTGTACCTGCCAGCGCGGCCAGGACCTTCTCACCGTCCGCGATACGATCATGCGCAATCAAGTAGCGTGGCGACTCAGGGAGATACAGCATGCCCACGATGATCACGATGCCAAAAACAATCTGAAAGGCGATCGGGAAACGCCAGACCAGGTCCGGTGGCCCGTAGTGTGCGCCAAAGTCGATCCAGTAGGCGATCATGGTTCCAATAGCAATAATGCCGCCCTCGATGCAGATCAGCAGACCTCGATTGTGCGTCTTAGAGCATTCGGCCTGATACGTCGGGATGGTCGACGTATTCATTCCGTTGCCGATTCCCGTGATGACACGACCGAAGATAAACTGGAGCAGGGGAAGTGAGCCCGGGAACGACGTGACTTGGATGATGACTCCAACGATCATCACCGATGCGCCGTAGATGACCATTTTGCGGCGCCCGAGGATTTCGCCGAAGATCAAGGCGAAGATAGCGCCGAAGAGACAACCTATCAGCGGTGAACTGGGTTAGGTTCCGCGGTACATAGTGTCACAGACCAGTACTGACCGACTTCATAAACAGCTGTCACGGTCGCTTGCATGGTGTTGTCGTCTTTGGTTGCTGTAAAGACATTGTTAAACGCCGGGTCGGAGATGATGCCAGACATCACACCCTCTGCGATTGTCTCTGTCAGCATGGGCCAGTCAGCCAGCCTGCGTTACTTACGATCATATCCAAACAACAAGAACCCCATAGTCGCAATGGTTGATACAGTCCAGGACAGTTTCTGCCCGGACATACCAGCAAACGTGGGCGGCGCCATGGTGACAAATCGTTGGTCATTCGACTCAGGGATAGTGTAATTGAATTCAAACAAACAGTGAGTGCCTGCGCGAGGCAGACCCATAGAAATAGTCACATCTGGGCATGAACTATGAAGTCAGAGTGGACATTGTTCGCTTAGTCAAGGTGAGTAAGTCAACTCCATAGTGTTCTATACCGAGTTACCTCATGCGGTAATTGAAGAAAAGTAAGGTTACAGGTTTACCCAAGATCTGCATGCATTCTTTACCCATGGTTGTGGATCTGTGTCTTCAATTATTGGTCAATTCTTTCATTCTCTTTGTGACTTTTTTCCCCTCCTCTGTTGATCTCATCTTTGGCACACTTGCCGGTCATAAAATATCAGCTTGTGAGTGCAGGAGAGCTGAAGCAAATCATGACCCCTCGCATACTCTATCTAGCTCAAATGCTTCTGCTCAGCGTCCTCGAAGTGAGGCTGAGCAGAATGAGTCTTCAGTGCAACGGCAGTTCGGAGGTATCTCTCATGATGTATTAATGATGTCTTTTCCGAGGATTGGCACCTAATCTCCAGATAAGGAGGAGGTGTGTTTGGTTGAGATGGAGAAGTAGAGGAGAAAATGATGTAATTGCTACCCACCGCACTGAGCCCTAAGTAAGGTACCCACAACCGCGGAAATGTCGATGAACCATGATCTTCGAGCTTGGTTAGCGAAAACTCAACTCATGATAAGCTCATCCTGTTCTTGGTACTGGAGGGCGTGAAAGTCATTAATTCGTTCATTAGACTGGCCTATTGATCAGACGTCTGAGGCATACATGAGGCTAAACTGAACCAGCTACCAACCACAAGTCCTCCGTAGGCAGAGTGGATAGTTGAGAGATATGGAAGGAATCTGAGATGGAAAGGAAATTCGTTAGTCTCCGAAGTTGAGAATGTACAACGCTTCAGGCAGATGCTCGCATTTTATCATGGGGAGGATCAATATCATGCTTGCCGAAATACTCACGGGAGAATGCGCACAACTTGACCCCTTGTCCAGCAGGGAACAGGTCGCTCAGAGCCCGCTGCAGAATCATACAAAAGATGGCATTCCGATTCGAGTACCACAAAAATTACAGAAGCGACAAGACTTGAGCGCGGCGAGTGGAGCAAAATGCAAGTCAGTGCATATTAACCATCGTGATCAATAGTCGACACTGGGGCATCCCCGGAAAGCGATGAGTAATCCGGCAAAAGCTCCTCAAAATAAGCCGGCAATGCTGCGTTTCCTGCATGCGCATAGCAGGACCGAAGTGCCAATGGGACCGGATGTGTAAAGGATTTCGGTGTGGGGTTGTTGTCGATGAAAACATACACCCAGAACTGTATTTGGATAGTCAGATTGAAGGCTGCTCATACCCGGATTGTTGCGACGAAAGGAACAGTTTATGATTATGGAATAAAAAGCAGTGAAGTCACGAAGGTGAAGCAGGATGTGGGAAGCGCAGCTTGGATCAGGTCAGTCTTACCTCCAAGAAGTGTTTTACTTCCACGTTCTCAAGTTTGGCATCAAAATGCATAAACTTGAAGTCTGGAGCACAGCTGTGCGACTTGCACTTCGGCATTTGAAGATTGATATCGAGGTGAATCGTATGAGAGGAAGGAATGGTCTCGCGGTCGGGAGTGTTACAGTTGTTAGGAGACATAGGGGATCTTGTCGATTTTGCTTCAAAGGTGTTGAGCTCCTCTTCTTGGACTTCACCTTCCGGTTGTTGGTGCACCTCCGGTCCGAGGTCTTCCCCCCGCGTCTCATGTAAGAGATACTTCTTCCGGCGAGCCTTGCCGGCCCGCGTCCCATCCGGCATATAATTGATGACGTCCTCAGCGAGAAAGACGCGAAGGTTGTGGAACTTCGTATCGTTGTATCCTTTGTACTTGAAGGAAACGGGAAGGAGATCCTCTAAAGCGATGCCTTTCCTTGCGAGAGAAATATCGAAATTCATAACGCCGGGAAGAGGTACCGGCCGACTGATGGCCTCGGAGTCTTCAACGTAGGCATCGGCCGGGCAGCGGACAGCCTCAATCTCCTTCTGCTGATAGAACTTTCGTTGCATGGACTTACACTTCACGCTGGCTTTGAGATGGTAGCGAACTACCGCTCCCTCGACGAATGTAGACTCGGGCAAGTTGGAACGCAGAATCATCTCAAAATCATAACAGTAGCTTCCAGGTAAAAAGCATTTGGACTTGACATCCGGGCCGATTTTCCGGGAATGTAGGTGGAACTTGTCGACCATTTGGCGAAGCTTCTTGAACCTCTTCTGCGGCACTTCAACTTCCTTGGCATCTGTGACGAGTTTTTCTGGCTCATTCGCGAGAAACTGAACCTGGCTCTTTGACTCGTTCTTTGACAATAGTGTCAGGGGACATTTGACAATGCTTCTCATTTGGCATTTCCCTGTAACAAGAGTCGATGTTAGTCAGCACAGCCAACATATTATATGAGGGTGTGGCTAATGTCAGTTCTTACCATTGGGCCATTCTCGGGTTGAGAAACCGTCAAGAGTGACGATGACCTGTTCCACTTGTAGCCGACGCTTCACAATCAACGTGCAGCGCCCCCGAAGCACAACAGGCCTGTTGCCTGTGGCTTCGGGTAGGAAAAAGGCCGGCTCAGTCAGTTCCAATACAATGCTAAGTTTCTTCCTCTCGTCCCGCTCGCGAAGTATTTCAGTTGCGATAGTAGGAACGTCTTGGTACAAGAGCAAACTAAGTTTCCACTGCATCTAGCCGTTGGGGACGTAGAGGAACACAGTGAGCTTGTTCGTGATGTGAGCTCTTGAAAATCCTTCAAGACATGGTCCTCAAAGTGTTAAATTGGTGATAGTAAGTCTCTAGAGCTCATGACCAATGTCAGTGTTCCTTTGCCTAATCAATCTCCGATTGAGTGTAAAAGTATTACATCGAATATCAGTTGAGAATCGTTGAGCTTACCCTGAATCGTCCACGAACTTGACATGTATGGTCAGTTCGGAGAGCTTATTTGGGGCGATCGATTGGCAGACTCGTCGGAATGTTGCTTTGCAGTACCGAGGAGCGCGCAGAAAGAGAAGGGGTTTGTTATGCCACTACTGAGAAACTGAAAGGAGAAAAGGGAAGATCATTTGTGTGCAGGTGACATCGCATCGTTTGATTTGATAATCGCAAATCATGAGATACTGTATGTATAAACAAATAAAAACTCGCTTTTGTTCCTGGATAAGTGATGTCACTATCAGATGTATAGCCAATGAACTCATGTGAACTATCCATCCTCCTTTGCCTTGAGTAGACCTATCTAGTATATCTTATAAAGGAAGAAAGACTGTACTATTGCATATGACTATAGGGAAGTTGTAGAAGAAATCATGATCACAAGAGGCCGTAGTGATAAGGGTTAGCTCTCCCCAGGTGCGGCAATGCCGGCAAGCTGCCGAATTGTGGGGTGCTTAACGCTAGACGCTCGGACCACTATGGTATCCAGACTGTTGGGGATTCCAAGAGCTCTTATCTTTATAGCTCCCTTGTCCTTGTAATCCAGGAGGTGGACCTTGATAAAGTGATTCAAGTCATAGAACTTTGGCCAGCTTTGATGAACCACATTGTCCAGGAGCTTCTCTGAATTTAGGAGGAAAACTTTTCGCAGCCTTCGTTGGTTAGCTGCATCTAGGATCGGGAAGTGCAACTTTTGCTTGAGCCTCCCGCATTCGCTGCAAGATCTCTTCTGCTTTAAGTCCTAGTCTTCATAACAGATGTTTAAATATCGTTTGTTCAAGCTGTTGGAATTTTGACTTCAAAGGCTTGATCACCTGCAATGATGATGAGATATTATTTTCCTGTTCATTAGGAGTGTCTCTGGGCGGTCATTTCTGGCTTGGTAGTCGTCTTGATATCTTCATGATCGTGACGCAGTTAAGGTTATCACGAAACACCAATCGACCACAATGAGATATTTGGCCAAGAATAGCCTCGAGAGAGCTGCTCCCTGGGAAAATACCTTTCCCTTCTATCGAGATGGATGCTAAGACCATTCTATTGCAGGCCATCGTCTTAGAATACGCTACGGATAGAGCTCCTGGCACTATCGAACGAGCGGATGGTATTCCAAACATACTTGGAAATGAGCAAATCCTTGATATACAGAGCACCGGAACTGAAAACACCTCACATAGTGACAGGTGAGATTTATTTCTCGAGTCTTCGACACTCCACATAACCATTCGCGTTAAGATTCTATTGAAAGTCACCAGCCGCGCTCTGCTCATCCGGGGCAAAACCAGTAACGTACACGACTGCTTACAGACAAGCTACCGGGCTTTAAAAGTCCGTACAGTCTCCTAGTTCAATAAATTGCATCTCTTGGTAACTCCTTGGTACATTCGACACCCCTGACATTGAGAGCTAACCTCTGAAAGCGAGAGATAGATTGCTTACCATCGATATAATAAGACGTCCGAGTAAAACAGGCGGAGGACCATCAGAGACAAAGAGAAATTCCTTCAACAAGCTGGCAATCCTCCTCGAGGTGCAAGATGCTTAAAACTTCGAACAGCACAGAGATTGAACCACAGACTTCGCGAGTCGAGGAACGACTTCTAGCGACAGTGGATCGAATGATACAAGACAAACCGAGGAAAGCGTTCATCGAGTCGTGTTGAACGGACAATGGAGAGAAGGGACAGCTGATAGCTCATGAAGATCTGTCCTCATGCATTGCTCATACAGTTATATGTTATCGCTCAATGGCTTGTTCGCATAAGAGCTGTTGGAAGTCGGAGAAACACAAATCACTGCTCGGATTGTATTCAAGTGACATGCCCATAAGTTCTTGCCATCCTCCAAACTTGGGTGCATCCATATCGCAAAAGGAGCGTGTTTGCACTTAATATATGTATTGCATCCGATATTGCTGCGCATTACAGTTCCTTAGGTATACGTCAGTTTTGCGTTCGATAGCTCCCTCACCCGTCCAATATAAATGCTGACATAGGTGCTGTAGTAGGCGTAGAAGGCATGGTAGGCATAGTGGGCGATCACATAAGTAGGGCAGTGGTGCTTTACGCATATTCATGTACGACGACGCTGGGTCGCAGTTGGTATGCAGAAGCAAACGATGCAGGCATACGGAGTAATTCTTAGGCAATGGGGTTTCGCAGAGCCCTAGAGAATCTCAGTCAAATAGTGTACACAGATGGAAGCATTCCTTTAATGCTTTCTTACTACTCGCTCATCTTCATCAAAGATCAATTGTGGAGATACCGGTGGGTTCCCTATCTGGATGACGCTTTTTACCCCAACGAAGTCTGAGGGGATTTTATGCAATGCAAGGATTGCGAGGTAAGCCTAGACAAATGCAAACACTTCTATGTTACTCTGCATATATCTACTCGCTACCTTACCAGCATGAGTCTCGAGTGCTGGGTCCGCAAGAAGACTGCCTGCAGATCACATTGCTTCTCCGCATGCGACCATGATCGGCGGTGATGACGGGATGCTACTGCGCGCAATATACGGAGTAGCCAAGTTGACTGTAGCGACAAACGGAGAATAATAATAGGCTCGTCGATAGAAACCTGAAGGGAATTGACTTCATCAAACTGTCTGTAGCTTTTTGCATTATGAGCTTTTGATAAATCGTTCGAATATTGACTGTCATTACTACTGACCCTGGGAATCATCTGTCCCCATCTGTTTTAAGGAGTCTCAGAGGAGGCAAATTGCTGTTGCGACCGTGGGCCAGACCAAAAATCAAACCAAGAGTCAAAGCACCAACTCTAACCAGACTAGAGCATCTCCCAGTTTCTTGTCTTCTTCGTCTCGTCCTGGTACTATTCCTCTGACCAATAATTTAGCTGTCCTAGTTTGCTTTTCCCCTCCTCTGTCTTGCCTGACTTGTCTGTCCCGTCACTTAGACTACTAAGTAGTCCTCCGACTCCTACTGATCTACATCTGTGATTCCTCCTTTACGTCTCCTCCTTTGCACAAGTGCTCTTTTACACCATCATAATTCTATTTTTCTTATTTTATCCATTGATATCTCTGCTTCTTTTTCTTTTCTGTATTTTTCTGTTGCAAGTTCTTGGTTGTATATCCATCGGTTGCCTCCCTCCAACGCCTCATTTAATGCAACTGTCTCCCCAGCCGTCCCCCCCTTCAAGAACCCTGTCCTAAGTCCGCGGAAGGCTCATCCAATCGTTTCTCATCTCCCTCTTTGACGTTGCCATTGTCTCACTTCTGATCTAATTCCTCACGATTCGATTGTGAACGGCGGTTTGAAACGCACACGAGATGTCTTCTAACGACCCTCACCCTCCGCAGTCGGACATTGCAACACCAGTCATCAAGGACGAAGCTCCATCTGCAACACTCGAATCCCCTCAAGGACCCCAGCAACAATCGCAAACACCCACAGTTTTCCCTTCGGAACCTGTCGAAGTCACCGCGGTTCCTGCTCCTCAGACCGAGAACATCCAGAAAGATGATAATGCGGACAACACCCCAGCCGCTGGTGTCAGCGATAGCACTACGCCGGTTATCACCACCGAGCACAGCACCAGCGACGCTTCTCCAACGAATGACAAACCCCCAGTTACCGCAGGACTAGATACGACTGACACCCCAGTCCCTGAGCCATCATCAGACGCATCAGACGCCGCCGCAAAGGAAGTGGAGGATTCCGGCCCGTCGTTAACCATCACACTCCTTTTAATAACAGGATCACGTCATCCTTTCGAGATCGATGGGAAATATTTACGGAAGCGAGGGGTCAATGTCGAGAGTTACGATCCGTTTGCTATGAGTGTATACACACTGAAGGAACTGATATGGAAGGAATGGCGACAAGGTAGGGAGCGGAGCTGTCGGCGTTCACTGCGTGACGCAGAATAAGAAAGCCGGACTGTGTGCTGATCAGTTTATGTGTCTGACAGATTGGGAGTTGCAACCAACCTCTCCAAGTTCTATTCGATTGATTTCGTTTGGCAAGTTGCTGGATGACAAGTCCCCTTTGTCAGGTAGGCGACAAAATACGCAAACCATGCTCGTTGACGTTACTGATATTCTGTGTCTCAGACTGCAAGTTCAACAAAGATGCTCCTAATGTGGTACATATGACAGTCAAGCCTCAAGAGATTGTCGACGAAGAAGACGCCAAGGCAGCCAAAGCTCCGTATAGCCGGGAACGTGAGGCCAGTGAACGCAGTCCTGGATGTCGTTGTATCATCCAATGATCTCTTTAAATGTCTACCTACCATTGAAGGAGGTTGATGTCCCTTCCGATGGCATTTGGTGATCTCCGTGTCTATGTGCCTTTGTTCATATCTGCTTGACTACCTTTTCGATTCATTTCTATCTCTTTTGATACAGGGTATCTGATTTGTCATATTGGCTCAACATACGCAAGGGCTGGCGTTATGGATAATCGCGATTGTGCTTCAACACCATGTTTTTGCGGTTTCTGATTGTATTTCCCGATCTACCTTTCTGTTTCGCTTCACATGTACAGGCTTCAATTTGCTTCTTGTGTCCCATCCTCCGTGTCCCTATATACCCCCTTCTTTCCCATCGTGCCTTTTATTCTTCTCCAGTCTCGTTCTTAGCTGACAACAACGCCGTGGCCCCTTCGTTTACTCCCGTCCGGTTACTGGTTCTCCTTTCTGGTGGCTTTCTCTTGGCATTCGCCCAAACCACCTTAAGTACTCCGTTCATTCTAGCATCTTTCCCAACTGTTATGGTGGGTATTGCTGGCAATCGTCCTCTGACTTTGCTATCAATCTGGCAGGATCTAGACTGCCTCATTCTCATGATTCAGAGAGCAATGTACATTCTGATCGTCGCTCAAGTACATAGTCTTTTCGCTAGGTCACACTCTGAGGGCCAAGATGGGAGTTGGAAGGATGTACAGAACTCAGGTGGACATATATGAACTCATGAGTCTCTTTCGAAGTTTACCAGCAATTACCCGAGTTCATGTGGTGATGAAGAGTGTTACCGTACCTTTCCAGACCAATTTGCCAAACATCGCAGAGAGACAATTCTTAATATCTCATGGTCTTTATTGACACTGTATCAGAAACGTAACGACTCATAGAAAAATGAAGCAGAACAGGCAGAGCAAGCCGATAATCCAATCAAAACTCCACCCTAAGTCTCTTCTCCATCTCGTCATGGAAGGAAGGCGGTTCCCTGAATTCGTCTCCTGCATCCAAAAAATCAGCATCGTCATTTCGGCAGCGCAGAAACAGGCATTCAACCAACCTTGGAAAATATCCTCCCAGCCAACCTCCGTATCCCGTCCCCCAAGGACCAGAATGTCCTCGTGCACATTACCACCTTTGTTCCCGCCCAGCACAGCAGGCCGGAAAGTGCCGTCCCGCACGATCTTGAGCTCCATGCCGCGCCGCACAGGTTCCGCGATCCCGTATGCCCGGCGGAGCGTCTCCATCTTCATGGCGTCCTGGGTCTGGCGCCAGGCGAGCAGGCGAGCTTCGAGTGGGTGTGTCGATGAAGGAGTGGAGGTTTGGTTGCTAGAGGGGGGGCCCACGGGTGCTGGGAGCGTGATCTTGTTGCGGAGGGTGTCGGGGAGACCGGGGGCGGATGGGGCGCCTTTTGATGGGCGAGCGGTGGAGTTTCTGGTGTTTGTGTTGGAGGTCTGGGTGGCGTAGTTTGCTGGGGGTGCTATGCGGAGAGACTGCAAGTGTGTTAGTGACAATGTTCGAGTATTGGTGCAAGCTTGATTGTCTAGTCATGATCATGGCGATTGAAAGGATATGACATACCATTTTGGCGGTGGTGAGGCTGAAGATGTGAATTAATGGATGATAAGCTTGAACTTAGAGATTTATAATCAAATGAAGCTTCTTGGTCTATTAAGGAGACAGATGGAGGTTGTTAGACGAAGATGGTGAAGTCAAGGTGATTGAGTGGATAGCTGAGGAGGATGATATCGTAGGTAGCTCTGGCATTACGATAGTCACTGGCCTGAGGTGCCAAGGCTACAACCGCATAGCGCGTCCAGCTTCTCCGGGCCCGCAGAGGAACCATCTCCGCAGCCAGCTTATGCATTCTTCTCACGTGATATTATCCTTGAGAAATTATCCCGTACTCCGTATCAACGCAGCGATACAGAAGTCGAAGGGAACGTTCAATTTCAACCTCACACACACCAGCGCCACAATGCCACCATTCATCTCCTCCCTCGCCCTCCGCACACTCCGGACCCTAGTCCAGCGGCCTTCTCTCACAGCCATTCCGGCATTATCGAGGCCAACAGTCTCCAGGTTCCACCCCGTCCTCCGCACACCCACCGCCGTTACAGCAGCAAGAGCCGCAGGCGCAGGCCCTATCACCCGTCATTTCTCCACCTCCCCCTTCCGCCAGGCAACCTACAACCAGGTCCGTCGCGGATGCCGTGAGTCGCAGCGAGCGCGCCGCTCGCGATCCCCCGCGCTCGTTGGTAGGGCCCAGATGAAGGGCGTTTGCCTGAAGACGGGTATCACGAAGCCCAAGAAGCCTAACTCCGGTGAGAGGAAGACTGCAAGAGTACGGCTGAGCAGTGGGAAGGTAGTGACGGCGTATATTCCCGGTGAAGGTGGGATTCCCCCGAGTGTCAATTGTCAACTCGATGGCGATTGTGCTAATCGTGGCTGTGGTGTGTAGGTCACAATGTTCAGCAGCACAGTGTGGTCCTCGTCCGTGGAGGTCGAGCCCAGGATTGCCCTGGTGTTAAATACCATTTGGTTCGGGGAGCGATGGATCTGGTATGTCGCGCGCGGTATTTCGAATGTAGTTGGTGGTTCGGTCAGTTGCTAATGCTCGATTTATAGGGTGGTGTTGCGAGTCGGTTGACGAGCAGATCGAAATATGGTACTAAGAAGCCCAAGAAGGATTAGAAGCTCAGAAGTCGATCCTGCGGTGACTTTCGGTTGCGGTAGAGCGATACGGATTTACACATTGTACAATTTGCCCGAGAATTTTCATCGATTGGTTCGGTTCTCATCGTTTTTCGTCGTTGAACAGTTATGTACATTTTATGATGCAGTTTGCTAGATGGGCCAATATTTTTTTCTCCGACTTGATCTCAGAAAACCCATAACACAAACGATCATCCTTTTATATCCTCCGATGCTCCATAAAAAAAATGTTCACCCAAACAAAAGCCGTCGGTAAGACTAGAGCAGAGAGTAGGGAATTCGGTAGTCAAATGTATGAAGAAGGTCAACTTGAAGATAGCTATCGGTAATTCGAACTCTGACACCAGTGTTGCTGATGACCTTCAAGGACAAACCAGCTCCAGGTGGTAGGCACTTATCGTTAAGATGACGGTATCAAATCAAGGATGAATATGAATAGACGATAGGCGGTATGGACGATGCGCACCCGGAGAAGGAAGGCCAAACCAACACTGGAACTCACTGTAATGAAAACCAGGCAAACTTTACCCAGCACGGCTAGTCAACTCTGATCTTCAGCGCCCTCTGGCTTCTCCATATCATTGATCTGGAACCACCGGGATGTGCCTGAACGCATTTAGGTTACTCAACGTCTCAGGAAGGCGGCAAGTGAACTTACAGGAATATCCCTTCCAATCGAAATTCTCACTAGGATCACAGTGGCATTTCAGGTCCAGCCTCATCTGCTCACTGGTTGGGCAATGTGTGAAGGGAATGTGGTAGTATGCAATCTCGTTGAAAAAATGAATCTCTTCCTTCTTGAGCATGATGCCGGCCGCAATGGAGTGGACTGGGGCGTCTCCCCATCGCTCATAGAAGAAGCCACCGTCGTGATCAAGAGCATCGAAGTAGTCAATATACTGCTTCGATCTCAGCCACTCCAAGCTTCCAATCTCAAAGTTGGACCACTGAGCAAGATGATCAGTCAGCAACAGCAACAGAAGGAGTTGTAGTGACGGAAACTTACAAAGTGACATTTGTTGTATGTCTTCCCTCCATCATCACTCAAGAAATCCATCGCATTTCCCTCTGCAATGTGCTCGGGGTGATTGCCAATGAACTTCTTGACGCTATCCCACAGACTGGGGATGGTGTCGTAATATTCATACAAACTAAGGACGAAACTGTACTTCTTGTTCTGTTCCTTCATGAACCGGAATGGGTCGAAGCTGATATCGCAGTAAAGCTCAATGCTGGGTTCTACACGCCAGTAGTACTCGTAGTTCAGCATCAGGGGATGGCGGAAGAAGAAACCGGACTCGTAGCGGCACATGTGGCGATAGCTCTCGGAGTCACCATAGATGATCTTCTTCTGTCCCATTTCCTCTCGAACCTTCTTGGCCTTGTCCTGATCAATCCAATCAGGGTACGACCAGTGCTCGTGGGGAATTTCACCATAGAATGTATTTCCAGACACCAGTGACGTAGTGACCTTCTTAAAAGTGTCGTCAAATGGCTTGTCGTTGAGAAAGACCCAATCATAATGGTAGTTACGGTTGAAGCGATCCTCGACCTGCCGGATCGACTTCGCTATATCCCAGACATCGGAATTGCGAGCCAGCGTGACAAATGTCGCATTTACACGGCCAACTGGCGCAGCATTCGCGCTTCCCGAAATGTCCTTCACCGGCGGTTTTTGTGGCGCAGCGTCATTATGCGCTTTGTCAGATGGTGAGACGGTATTTTTGTAGTTCGCGGGGTTCAACTTCGATCCGATATTTTCGGGGATGGGAATTGCGCTGCGGGAGATTAAGAAGAATACTGCCAACCCCTGGTACTGTGTCAGTGGCACTGCGAGAGGGCATAGCGGGAGAAACTCGAGGACGACGAACCGCCACGGCAAAGAGCAAGTATCGCATATATTTAGGTCCCGAAGACATGATGAGTCTCTCAGTCTGCTATCAAGCAGGAGACTCCTGGCTGAGAGGGGTGTTGACAATCAGAAGGATGATGGTTGCCTGCTGCGGAAGCTCGTATAACAGATGGGCGAAGATGACTTTGATTAACGAAAACTAAACGAGTGACGAGAAAAGGATACGAATGGTACGGCCAGGAGATGCTAAAGAAATTTCGATCAAGACTACTCCGTAGAGAAGCTGGTGAACCGGTCTTTTGCGTCCTCAAACCGACGGATTTGGTGCGACGCCAATGAGGATAAGAGCATCAAAGGGGAATGTGAAACAATGACATCCACGTTGACTTGGCCTTGACAGACCGGTCTAAGCCAGTCTTCAAGTCAGAAATTACCGTGATTGATTAAGATTGAAATCAATGCGAAATGAGCAATAGAAAATGTTTCGTCTGAAGCGACGCCAGTGGAAGCTATCTAGAAGGTATCCACGAACGCCAGGCCACGCAACGTAATTATGCAACTGCTTTCAGCCACCATTTGCCTTTGGCCGGCAATCAGACCCGGCGCATTTCCTCGAGGAAGAACAGTTGCCAACAACAGGGCGAGAAGGAATCGATTCATGCCAGGGTTAAGTTGTTACACAATTAAGATCAGCTCTATCAGGATGGATCGAGACACCTAGATATGTCTTCTTATCTATCCATTCTCTGCATGGGGCTGGCAAGTTGGTATCCGACGATCCATTCTGGTTTGGATATCAAATTGGGGCCAAAGTCGATCAAGATGTGCAATTCTAGATATCTTTGTGGAAAGCTGTTGCATTTCAGTTTTGAAATAAACGCTGTTCATATTCAAAATGCCTAATATGTTTGCACTTGTGCATGCTATTTCCCTGACCCTTATGCCTCAATCCCTTTTTTGTTGCGTCAAGGAATCTCTCCGCATCATATGAAACGTGTCCTGTGGCGATGTGGCTTGACAACTATCTGCCTCAGGCGCTCATTCCGCTGACACTAACCCGATTGGACTAGCGGGTGATATCAGACGGGCACCGAACTAACTTCATCCCACTACAAGAATGCCGTGGTAGATCTTGCCATCCCCTCAATCTACCTTGTCCCGTCCAACCTCCAGCCGAAGATGTCATTCTTCGGCTTCGATACTACCCTACCGAGGGACCGAGCTCCCCCGGGAGAAAAAAGGGGGTTTTTCGAAGCTCCTGATCCCTTTGCCGAAGTCGCTCGCGCTGGGGCAGGACGCTTAGGCGACAATGATGATGCGTGAGTCGCTTTCGTCTCCTGTGGTCTCTGAGTCGCAGCACATGGTTGAAGACATAATGCTAACCAGAAGTTGCATATCGATGTTCACAGTATCGATTTCGAGGACACATACGATGGTCTAGGGGATCAGCTGGACGATGATCAGGATGCCTTTAATGAGGACACGTTCGGCGACGTTGGCGCAGGCTCAGTCGGCAAGGACTTCGATTTCTTCGGGAGAACAGCTCAGGTTTCGGATGCTATCGGCGAGGAACAAGTTCGTTACAATCTACAGCACCCGGCTGCTCCTAGTGGGAGCTCGGCAAAAGAGATTGCGGCTCAGCCTCCAGCAACCAGCATCTCAGCAGATAAACCCAAACGTACTGGCTATGAGAAGTACCAGGATCCGGGATATATCCCTGACCTGCAAGCCAAGTCAAGCGTCTGGGGCTTGCAAAAGAAACCAGAGCCTGTTCACGAGCCTGTTCACGAGCATGTTCATGAGCCTTTTTACGAGCCTGTATCGCAAGCCAAGAAGATGTTAAGCTTGGAGGAGGTCGAAGCTCAGTTGCGTGGTCACGGTATTGCTCCAGTCCAGCCTCCGGTATCTATGCCGATGGCGATGCCCGATCTTTCGCATCTTCAGCGGACCCAGCAGGTGCCAAACGTCCCCGAAGCCTTTTCACAACTGCCGCCTGAGTTTCTCCAGGCCCAGTTTCCCAAAGATGTTCCGCCGGCACATCTTTTGCACCATCCCTCCATGGTTTCAGAGCCATATTCTCTTCCACCAACTGCGCCAAATGTGCCATTGCATCTCCTGCAAAATGCCAATATCCTGCCCCAACATATGGCACCTCCGCAGCGTCAAGCGATCCCTCCACGAGTGCAGCAGCCTCCGCAGCAGCCTCCGCAACAGCCCCCGCAACAGCCCCCGCCACCGCAGGCTATGAAGGGAGCAAATACCGGCCTCCCTTTGATCACCAACCCTCAGCAGCTGATGCAGTTGACGGAAGAACAACGCATGGCATATTTGATGGAGGATGCGAAGCGGGCAAAGCGCAATCACAAGATATTCCTCCTGTCAAAGGGCAATGGGTTGATGACTCCTCAAGACAAGAACTTCATCACCCGGATTCAACTGCAACAGCTTGTGGCGGCCGCAGGTAATGTTGCGGATGCGGATTCGGAGGCTGTCTTAGCGGAGGACTTTTATTACCAGGTTTACAGTCAGATCCGTGGTGCACCTCGTCAGCATCCGCATCAGCCTCTTGGCCACTTTGCACAGACCTACCTGCTTCAGACTGGTAACCGTCTTGGTGGCCACGGGCGAAGGAATGTCCAGAGTGCCGACAACCATATGCAAAGGATGCAGCAGCAGGTTCAGCGTGCAGTTGAAGCGGCGAAAGCAAAACCGAAAAACAAGCAGTTGATTATTGAGGGCAGTCTGGGCAAGATTTCTTTCAGCAATGCCAAAGCACCGAAGCCAATGCTCAACATCAAGCGCCCCGAGACCTCAGAGGGAGCCAAGGCTGCCAAGAAGCAACACACTGACCTGAGCCTCAGTGATCGGAAGTCTATTCTGATGAACATTGAAAATGTGTACAGTACTCTGATGGAGATGGAAGACATGGAGCGCACCATGCCCCCTCTGCCTGACGAGAATGATGCCGAAGCCATCCAGAAGCACCTGGAATGGCGGCAGAAGATCCGTTCCTTGAACCAGAAATTGTGGCAAGAACTCAAGGTCATGGAGCCTATCGTTCCTAACACCAACACTCCACATCCATTCATTGCTTTCCTCTCTTATCCCAAGGGCAAGAAGGCTATCCCACGCATTTTCCGACACATTGACCAAGAACAGCGAGTCACAATCCTCACAATGATCGTTGTCCACTTGGACACCTTGGACGTGGTCCGAAGCGCGCAACCTGTTCCAGGCGAGAGCCAGCCTTCGCTCGCCGTTAGAGAGGCCATTGATTTGTTCTCGCAGGCTGTCATGCCCAGTCTCTTAGGATATGTGAACGAGGCACCGTTCAACATCATTATTGGGCTTCTGGGACTTGTGATTGCGCAGACTCACGTCCAATTTGTGGCCAAGACACGCATTGGATTGGGTATATTGACTATGTTGCTCAGCCGTGCGGAGATTGTAAAGGAAGCTGGGCAGGCCGCGGAACGTGACTGGCAACAATGGGTTGAGAAGTTCAACGTGCTGTTCGACACACTCGAGCCGATCTTTGGCGATATCTTCCCCGCCTCGATCAACGCTGGCGACGATATGTATGTCTGGCAGTTTTTGGCAGCGGTTGGCATCGGAGCGAGCCCAGAGCAGCAGCAGCGCTTGGTCATCGCAGTGAAGTAAGTTTTCTCTCGACGTCTTATTGTTTGCCATAGGATTCGTACGACCTGCCGAACGGATGCTAACATGTTCTAGGGATCGTGTAATGGAAACTGTGACATACAGCAAGACGCTGCCCGCCGATATGGCCAGCCAGCGACTAGGAAACGTCAACCTATTTATGCGTGCCATTGGACTTGATGTCGAACTTCTCGGCTAGATCAATACTATATAATGAACGGTTTATTTGCTTTGCCATATTGGTTGCGCGCTACAGAGCGGGAGAAGACTGCACGCATGCGCGTCCTTCTTGAATGGCATTCATGCTAACTTCAGATGGTGACATTGTCCAATGCATGTTATGGACTTCATGACATCGCAGAAGCTTTGTCATAGAGCTTTTCATCCAGGGTGCAGGAGCGGATGACTGCCGAGCTAAGACAGGGTTTTCTTAACTCTACATAGCCCTTACAATTCTACCACCCTTACTTCAAGTGGGTGTCGAAAACGAACATATTGGAAGAGACTTTCCACGACTCATGTATCTTTGCAGCTGGAAAAAGGGACTTACAACTCAATGTACTCTTATTCATGCTTGTTTCTCTATTGCTTATTGCGCACCTCCTGGCGGCATATCTTTGGTGTCGGAGCGACACAACTTTCAGTTCATTGACACCAAGTACTAGCATTGTTCTGCATGCGTGTGCCAGACATGTGTATCATTATTGCACTATGTAGGAGATCTTCAGTCTGAAATTCATGCAGTCGGGAACGTGGCCATCGTAGTGGACATTGGACACGGTATAATTTGCGCTCGCATCAAACTTTGACTGGTTTTGGAGATTAGACCCTTGGATCGTCTGCTTAGAATGGTCGAAGCTGCCAAGTTGGTCCACCTCCAAGCGGAACTTGACCCGCTTCCAATTCAAGGCTGACCAGTCCCGAAGTTCATTGTCCAACAGGCAACCTATTTACAGACAGTGACACCGGTTGTCTGGTTGATAGACCTCAAGAATCAGGCTAATTGTCACAACGAATTTCTCTCATGAATGCCGAAAGGCTTGGTTGCTCTCCCCGGAATTCCTTCTTGCTGGCTGACAGGCCAAGCCGGTCACAGATATCTAGGGTCCAGTTCGCAGCTGGCACCCCGAATTCGGGCGATAATAGCCGAATGGATTCTTAGAGACTTGGCCGAATGCAAGCTGTTGATCGACTTCGGTTGCTAAGGGTCAATGCTGGATTTACGCATATGCTTCCTGTGCAGGAGGCATCTGTATCCTGTCCTGCTGGTTCAGACAGATAAAACCCAGCTCTTGCCGACTGTCATACGTATGCACGCACCAGCAGAGTTAATTAGACAGCCGATCGTACCATCGTGGCGCCGCGTAGTCTGTTTGGCTGTGCCGCTGGATTTGTCGATCAACAAATCGA